TATTAAGATGTGAATTGGTTTCATTCTGTGAATTTTCAGTTGTTTTTTATTTATAATATTTGTATTTTTACATATACTGTGAAATAGAGTTTAGTTATGTACTTGTTTTCACATGTAAATGTCTGAAATAAAGTTTTTATTTGTTAATTTTATTTATTATTTCCAATTAAACTGTGAATCCTCTTTTTATTTATTTATTTATTTATTTATAATATTTGTATTTTTTGTTGATAAATGGTTTTTTAAGTATAATTACAATCTTCTAAATGTTATTAACCTGTGAATGTATTTGGTTATGTATAATATAAATGTAATTATACTGTGAATCTTCAATTGTTTTTGTTCATATATTACAATATATGTCTTCTAATATGATAAATAGTTTTTTAACTGTAAATATGGTGTTGTAACTGTTAGTATAATCTGATTTTGTTTATTTATGTACTTGTTTTCACATGTAAATGTTTGAAATATAGTTTTTATTTGTTACTTTTATTTATTATTTCCAATTAAACTGTGAATTCTCCTTTTTTTTGTTTTTTATTTATAATATTTGTATTTTTTGTTGATAAATGTTTTTTTAAGTATAATTACAATCTTCTAACTGTTATTAACCTGTGAATGTATTTGGTTATATATAATATAAATGTAGTTATACTGTGAATCTTCAATTGTTTTTGTTTATATATTACAATATGTGTCTTCTAATATGATAAATAGTTTTTTAACTGTAAATACGGTGTTGTAACTGTTATTATAATCTGATTTTGTTTATTTATGTACTTGTTTTCACATGTAAATGTTTGAAATAGAGTTTTTATTTGTTAATTTTATTTATTGTTTCCAATTAAATTGTGAATTCTCTTTTTTTTTTTTTTTTTTTTTTTTTTTTTTTTTTTTTTTTTTTATTTATAATATTTGTATTTTTTGTTGATAAATGTTTTTTTAAGTATAATTACAATCTTTTAACTATTATTAACCTATGAATGTATTTGGTTATGTATAATATAAATGTAATTATACTGTGAATTTTCAATTGTTTTTGTTCATATATATTAATATGTGTTTTCTAATATGATAAATAGTTTTTTAACTGTAAATATAATGTTGTAACTGTTATTATAATATGATTTTGTTTATTTATGTACTTGTTTTCACATGTAAAATTTTGAAATAGAGTTTTTATTTGTTAATTTTATTTATTATTTCCAATTAAACTGTGAATTCTCCTTTTTTTTGTTTTTTTATTTATAATATTTGTATTTTTTGTTGATAAATGTTTTTTTTAAGTATAATTATAATCTTCTAACTGTTATTAACCTGTGAATGTATTTGGTTATGTATAATATAAATGTAATTATACTATGAATTTTCAATTGTTTTTGTTCATATATTACGTAATGATACGGAACTATTATATGAGAAATTAAATAATTAATCAATTATTTGTATATAGTTTTAAAATTTACCTTGAACTTCTTGTTCCTTTTCCTTTTTCTTCTTGTCAACAACTTTATCTTCTTCAAAATTCACAAGTTAATAGAAAATTCACAGTTTAATCATAAAACTATAATTAAGAAACTTTTTATATTGTACCTTGATTTTTTTTAATGTATGTTGTTAGGTGTTTGCAACCTTGTTTGTCTTGTTGTCCCTTGAAGATATTTATTTTTCTGTTTTGATTTTTTTGTCAAAATGCTTTTACCCTTATCTGAAAATGTAATTAATAGGAAAATGAAATTTTATGATTTTTAAAAATAATCACAGTTTTAAACCATTATCATTATTCACAATTGAATACCATTATCTTAAATTTATAAATCTATAAAATCATTAATATATATTCACATTATAAACTTCAACATTCATAATTCAAAATTATTATTACAATGCCAATTTAAAACTATTTTTATATTCAAATCTATAAAATCTCAAATTCACAATTTAACACAGTGATAATTTTAAAAAAAATTTACGTTATAACATAATAATCATCTAATATTTTTTTCATTTTTGCAAGTTTTTTGAATTTATTTAGTTTTTATACTGTATTTAGGGTTTGACCTTTTTTTATGACGGTTGCTTTGTTTGTAGGTTGAGATTCGTCTGTTAAAATCATCCTCTTCAATGTTTGTTCTTTTTCAGACGTAGTTTTGATCGTTGTGAATTGAGCTTCTTCAGCTGAAATATTCGTCGTCATTCCTTCAACAGTTGAATTATCTGTCGATTTTTTTTCCAAATTCTATTGTTTTACGCCTTTTTGTCATCGTATTGAATAGATTTCTGTAGAATTCTCGTTCGATTATTTCCAAATCAGTAGAATAGAACAAAGATCGTGTTGCAGTGAATTGAATGATGGAGTTTTGTTGTTTCGAAAAAATCGTGAATTTAATTAGGGTTTTGATTTGTTCCGAAATATTAGAGAATCGGTTAATATGTTTTGAATATTCACGAAATTGCCACAGTGTTTTTTTGCTTAAATGATACATAGTAAACCTTTTATTTCGTGAGAATTACAGCTCATGTCATTCTGTGTTTTGACAAGAATTTCCTTTAATTAGTTGGTTCTTAGGTTCTTAATCTTTTTTGGTTCTCATTTGAACATTTACCTATATATATATATATATATATATATATATATATATATATATATATATATATATATATATATATATATATATATATATATATATATATATATTATCCGTTACATCTTCACCTTGTCTTTGGTGGATGTTGTTTTATATTTTCCTTGGGTTGATCATCACGTATGAAGTATGGTGCGAGACGGGAGTGATTTGGTCTAAGTAGTGTCGGGATGAGCATTCTGAAGCTTTTTATTTGTCTTTATTCTATGTACATAGTTACATACATAACGGCATGTGATGAATGTGTGTTCTCTTATTTTCTTTTTATTTTCTTTAATAATAATAATAATAATAATAATAATAATAATACATTACATGATATAAACAGTTATTTTCATTAAACCACACCGCATTCCTCACGTTTCTCTCATTTTTCTAACATTTTTATTTTTATTTTCACACCAAGAATATAAATTCAAAATGCTCGACATCAAGCAAAAGAAAAATGTAAGCGTTATGGGTTCATAACAACCACATTCAATTCCTGACAATCAATTCTAACAATACTCACAATATCAAAACAAATTCCCTCAATATTCAATGTGAGCAAATCGGCTCCTGAGACCTGTGAAACCATAGAAAATCACAAGGAGATGGAGAAGAAGGAACAAAAAAACATAGACAAATGGAGATGTGCATGAGCTTGATCGAACTTGTAAGTAGAAAATAGAGATTTGCTCGAGTTCTAAAAACACAGGTGGTGAAGGGGGGAGACGAATCCTGAGACAAGCTAATCGATGAGCAACATAAAAGATTTGAAACAGGAGACGACCAAGGGGAAAAGGATTCTCAAATCATAACCCTATGTGGATGACCTATCGTCCCTATAACCACAAACAAACGATGTCATTTTCTTATTTTCCAACTATATATATATATATATATATATATATATATATATATATATATATATATATATATATATATATAGGGCATAGAAAGCTACGGGGACTATAAGTTGTCCCTATATTTATCCCAAAAAGCTTAATTTCTGATTAAAAAAATATTATTTTCAATTTTTGTTATTTATTAGAGCGATAGGTCGTCTCTATAGGTGTTTCAAGAAGGCATCAAACCCATATCTTTTCCAGCTTAACATGTTGAGACAAGAAGTCGTCCTTGTATCTTCAAGAGTCAATAAAAAATTGTCAACTCTATGCCGACGATAGGTCATCCCTATAGGGAGCCTATAGCGACGACAAATGTCGTCCCTATAGGTGTTTATTCTTGTAATGGATGTTGATTGAACCATGAATTGAAGCCAAGAATACCAAATAGCTTTAAATATCTTCAAAACCGCAAAAAGTTTCAAAATTTCTCTTTCGTATCGCTACAAAAACAAGATCAAAACAGACAGACATTGATAGATACCATGGGTTCCAAACTTATACGAAAAACTCAATCTTATAACTTCGAGTTTAGTCGTTGTACTTTATGTCTTCGATTGTTCATATGTAGGATTTAAGTCCACCAAAGCAAGCAACAAAATGCAAAACAAATTGGAGGATTTACCCGATAAGCAATTGGTTTGTCGAGGGTGAAAGCAGTCACTGTTATTCATGATCTAGGGCTCATGCTTTATCTATTTTCCTCCGAACAAGATTTTTGTTTTACAGTAAGTTGCATATTTGGTCCGTTTTATGGTTTTTCTTAATAAATTTAACTTTTTTCAGTTGTAACATAGATGACCTTTACAATTTAATTTTGGCCTTTATCATATGTAAAATGATTAAGGTTCCATTAGGGATGACTGTTGACTGAAGAACCGAAATTAGACCTTATAGGGGTATTCCGTTCAGTTATCGGCTCTTCAAAATTTCATTATTTAGTTTCAAACTCAGCACTTTATAAAAAAAAAAAAATCAATACATTCAACAAAGAAGCATTTCAAAGATAAAAATTGTTAATTGCTAAAACATCATCAAACTCATCAAGATTAATTCTACAACTTCCCTAAATCCAAACTTCAAAGTCAATAAGCCCAAACAACTCATAAATGATGGGTAAAATAAGGTATCTGTATAATAAAGCACACTAAACATTGCTATCCAATAACGATATGTTTGCAACACGAAACATACATAAAACAACAAAAACATGAAATAATAAAACAAATGACCCAACCCACACAGACATGTCGGTTAACTAACGCCACTTTAGATTGAAGTGAGGAGCCGACCCGTCTAGAAAGCTTCTGGGAATTTGTTAAGGGTTTCCCATTTTTGATGACGAGTCTTTCTCATTTGAATATGTTTCAGGTAATGAGGCCAATACGGGTTCCGGTGGGAATTTTTACAAAACAAACATGAAAAAAAAAAAAAAAAAAAAAAGACACGACCCAACCCACAATAACTAACGCCACTTTAGATTGAAGATCATGTAGACACTAGAAGCCAGAAGGCTTGTGTGGGAATTTGTTAGGGTTTCCCATTTTTGATAACGATCCCTTCTTATTCGAACATGTTCCAGGTAATGAGGCCAATATGAGGTGGTATTCTTCTCCAAGACCTCCCTCAGCATGAGTCTGCAAAAGTGATTGTTTTGTCTGAAGTACGAGTCTGGCTTTGCATATACATACTTGGGATGGCAAATCTCAAAGAATGCATCAAAAAATAGGGATCGTTCCCACAGGCATTCATCATCTACTGTTCCAAACCACAGATGTTGCACGTTCATAGCAGGAGGAAACAAGAGGAGCCTTGTTCTTAGATCATCCATGTCGATGTCGTCGAATGGCAACATAGTAGTAGTATAGTTGTAAGTTATTATATAAATGTCGCACTTGCATGATAACGCGAGTGCTTCCCTCATCTTAAGAAAAAAATACACATCAACAGGAAGGCTGAGACTGAGTGAAAATATTTGCTTGAAGAGAGTACTAGAGACAGGAAACAAGAGAGTAGGCAATGTGGCCCCACCGAACCAGAAAAAATTTAATTTTGGAGCATCAACTTGTATGTCCGTAAGCATGCGTTGGCAATCCCGCAGGGTCAAATTCTTGATGGAAGCACATGTGAAATGGAAGCTTTCCGACTTCCAAGATCTCATATCATCAAGTGTTAGACTCTCAAGAAAAGGAAATCCCGATTCGATCATTTTCAGACACGCGTTGCCAGTTACCATACCATAACCACCTAGGGTTAACTCTGTCACGCTGCTTCCTAATGATATTGAATGCGGGGCAGGGGCTTTGAATAGAAAAGGTAGATCGCAGGTAAACACGCCGAGATTTGGGACATGACTGATTTCCAAAGCAGTATTATGAACATCTTGTGAAGAAGAAGATATCGTCAATTCATAAAGACAAGGGAGGTTTTTAACCTTGATGGTTTTGAACCCCTTGCAAGATCGAATGTATAAGCACAATCTTCTCAAGCCGGCTACAAGACGACAATATGTCATGGAGTGCCTCTTCACCTATGCACACACCATCCAATTGCAGCTCTCGTAGGGACACACAGTTGATCACAGGAGTAGGAGTAGTCGTTGTCATCCAAATAACAGAATGGTGCCTCAGCGGGGATGAAACGTCTATCTTACTCAGGTTTTCACCCGACGAGAGTATCTCATCTGGCAATGTAAACGGGGCACCATAAAGGAAGAGTGAGAGGGATAACTCTTTGAGACAAGAAGCTTTGGTAGTTACCACAGGACCAATCCATTTTTCAGCATGAGAAGCTGACTCCTGGTTCTCAATGTCGATAAGAAGCTCAAACCTTTCAATTGGTATGTTGTCACGGAGATACCTTATCAGAGTGTGGTCCACATCCACCAACTTCATGCCGTTTCCATTTTGTTCGCTGCGAACACGAAACCTGAGGATAGGAATAGTATGCCAAGCGTGTAGCCATGACTTGGACAACACGCTCGTGCGGGCCGCTTCTGTTATCGGCAACCGTGATTGTATAACTCCACAACATCTTCTACTTCTCGTCTCATCCCTTCAAACCCATGCATAAATAAATCATAATATAACAACACATCATCAGATCATCTTATCTCATGATACATATAACAGAGTATGAAATCACCAAAAACCAAAATAACCTACTTACTACATACACTTCGTTTCAGTCACTAAAACTCATATACAGTGTAGTGTATGCTTTACCTACTACTAACGGATTACCTGGGTAAGCCCAGACTCATATACAGTGTAGTGTATGAAACAACACCATCCAAAAAGCCCTAAAACGGATTACCTGGGTAAGCCCAGACTCATTTACCAAATACCAAAACCACAAAAAGTTTCAAAATTTCTTTACGTATCTGTTCAAAACCACAAAAGGTTTCGAAATTTCTCATCGTGTAGGTTCAAAACCACAAAAAGTTTCAAAATTTCTCTTCGTATCGGTACAAACAAAATCAAGACAGACAAACATCATTAAGAATTCCCAACTTATAAGAAAAACCCAATCTTGTAATTTCGAGTTTAGTCGCTCGCCGTAGTTTATGCCTCCAATTACATCCACCAAACCAGCCAACAAGATGCAAAACAAATTGGAGGATTCACCTGATAAGCAGCAGCCGGTTCGTCGAGGGCCAGAGCAATCACTGTTATTCAAGATCTAGGGCTACTATCAATAATCAGGATTGTAGTCGTAGAGTAAATATGGTTTTATAGTTTTTCTTAATCAAGTTATTATTATTATTATTATTATTTTTAAATTCAGTTATTTTTTGTTTTCGAAATATAAATGGAACTAGGTCTCCTTCTCGTGATAAAATATACACGAATGAACATGGTATTTACGGTTCAGTTTGAAACCGTAAAACCAATCAAACCGATCATCTGTTTCGTTTTGTGGTTTGTATTTCTTTTTACGGTTTAGTTTGCGGTTTCAAACTTTTCAAACCGTAATGAGCGGTTTGGTTTACTGTTTCAAATTTTTCAAGTCGTATAAAATCGGAATAGACCGTAGGATTTATATATATAAATTATTTTTTTTAATGGATTTGTATTTTGTTTTATTATATATTATTTTTTTATATATAAATAATAAAAATTTAAAACTTACAAACTCATTTAATTACCCACCATAATCCTTTGAAACCGTAAAACCAATCAAACCGGTCATTTGTTTCGTTTTACGGTTTGTATCTCTTTTTACGGTTTAGTTTACAGTTTCAAATTTTTCAAACCGTAATGAACAGTTTGGTTTTACGGTTTCAAATGTTTCAAGTCGTATAAAATCGGAAAAGACCGTAGGATTTATATATATAAATTTTTTTTAAATGGATTTGTATTTTGTTTTATTATATATTATTTTTTATATATAAATAATAAAAATTTAAAACATACAAACTCATTTAATTACCCACTCCAATCCTTTGTGTTGTGAATTGTGAAGTGAAGCCTAAGTGCCCAACCCTTCAGACGTATGTCACGTAACCTTAGTCTTAATCGATTCTTCCATTCCATCCATTAACCAATTTGCATTCTCCCTTTCCACTTTCCAATTTACATACTTCGAAACTCAGTTGTTCATTTAATTTCGTTGGCAAGGAAAGCACCGAAGAGACAACTCTATTGTGTTAAAAACAACGAATGAATCAATTGATTAAGTAAAATCAACAAAAGATACAAGGATCTAAATAAAATTTGATTGACTCAATTTCACGTCTGAAGAGTATAGAGAGTAAGAGTACAAAGTATGATGAAAGTGTTCGAACCAATGCTCTGACCCAAGTACTTATCATATTTATAGGGTACAACAAACGTACAAAAAATACAAAGACTATACATGACGTAACGAAACTATAATGCATTGTAAATAGATAACATGCCTAAAGTACTCTGCTTTCGATACTTACAGACACATAACGAAAGACATAGCTTTTAACTTTCACTATCTACTTTCGACCCTACAATCTCCCCCTTAGTGAGAACAGTCGAAACTTTAAGCTATCATCTTCAATGTCTGCAAAAGCTCCCTATGAATCTCCATATACCATAGAATGATCTTTCTAATCTCTACTTTGTCTTCATTATTGTCACAACTAGAAATTTTTGTGCCTTGTAACTACAACACTTAAGTCAAATTGTGAATCAAAGACATAAGAGCATGTATGATGCATACTCTATGACAACAACATTTCAAACAAACACCCCATGCAAGCATTTCAAGTAGTCAACAAGCAATTGGAAACCCTAGGAACCCTAAGAGTTCTTGTGTTAAGCCCATTTTGGACTAGGACTTCCTTATTGGGCCCAATGGACCAATAATCTTCCAATTTGACTATCTTGGGTTTAGAACTCTTAAATGGGCTCTAATTGGACCCACTTCCATGTATTTCAATATTTTGGGCCATATTGGGCCTAGAATGAAATAAATTAATTATATGAACCATTTTGGGCCATGATTAACCTAATTTAGCCCTAATAGGTCATAAGACTCACATTTATGATTATTCGGACCAAATATCACTTAACATAACTATAATCTAGGCTTAGCGGCAAAAAGCCCAAAAATCTTCTCTTTCCCTCTCCATTCTCGGCTCAAGCCCACAAAGAGGAAGAGTTGACTTTGTGTGTGTGCCACCTCACAATTGACTAAAGGATTTCCATGCATTTCCTATACTTCCATGCAAGCACTCTCTTCCCCTCCCCCTCTCTCTTGCTCTCGGCCAAATCCAAGCACATACACACACATTTCACTCACAATTCTCTCAAGAAACTCTCTCATTTCTCCTCCATATTTTCGAGATCTAAGAAGTGTTCAAGGGACTTCTTCTATAAAAATCATCATCTAAGGTAAGATATTGCTTAGATCCATAAGCTAGCTACTTCATTTCATTCAAAAATCACCTCTTAATTCATTCAAACTTATGATCTAGCACATAAGAAGCATCCAAGTTCGAGATCTTCCAAGAAAGGTTGCTAGGATCGAATTCTTCTCATCTTTTCCTTCCAAAAACCGAAACCACACCCAAGGTGAGCTTCATACCCCCTCTTTTTCGGTTTTTATGAGTTTTTATGGGGGAGAATACAAGCAAATGTGTAGATCTATGAGTAAATGTATGCCTTGTGTGATTTTTATGCTTGTATGTATGATTTTATGTGATTTGTGATGAATATGTTAGCCAAAAAGTACCTAAAAACCGAGATCTACAACATGAGGAATAAAACAAACATAACTTATACCATTTTTCACTAATCAAGTCAAGAAAAATAATTTATTTGGTTAGGATGAACATTTTTGGACATAAAACCCATTTTTGGGCTCAAATTGTCAAAAATACAAAAACTAAGGGCCCAAAACGACAAATGAAAATTTTTGGAGGTTGAAAATGGTCCAAACAGTTTCTAATATAATTTTTCTGAATATCAACACTTTTGAGGGGCTTAAAATGTAAATTTTGAACATAATGGGCTAAAAATGGGCTTTTCGGCCCAATAAGCCCCAAATTGCGAGATTTTTGAAATAGAGGGGCTGAAAATGCAAGTTTCTGTAAAACATGGGATTACAAGTGTATTAAAACTATTTTAAAGGTCAAAAATGCTTTTCAAATTCAAAAGGGATCAAAAATGCAAAAAGTTTCCATTTTGGGCCAAAACTATAAAGATTCCGAAAAATGGGGGTTCCAACCGAGAAAACTTCATTTTTGAAGGACTTAAGCTGTTTATTAAGTAAATCTGGGTTGAAAATGTCATTTCAATAAGTTTTGATACTAAAGTGTAAGGAAAAATGGTTTAAGGACTAAAGTGGAAATTCTTTTATATAAAGGATTAAAAGTGTAAATTTTATCCAGGAAGGGTCATAAAAAGGTAAACTCTTACTTATAAACAAATAAATCCCATAAGATAAAATATGAGCATTACGACTACCGGCGAAACGTAATAACAAATACACCTTCAACACCAATATCGTTACCAAACGATTTGATTCGGTCTCGGATCAATTACAAAACAAAAATCAATAAATGTTAGTACTTCAATAAACACGCGAAATTTACAAGAAGTCAATATTCAATCTTTGGGCTTGAAAGTTTCAAATCGTGCTTGTTGGGCCTAGCTAGCCCAATAACATGATCTTTAGGCCCGAAGGGAACGCGCTTACATGTTATTGGGCCATCTATGACCTAATTCCATGTAAAAGGACTTTCAATAGCTTTATTGTGTTGTTGGGACCAAGGGTCCATTGGTACTGCTAGCAAAGTCGAGAAGTCAAATGCGAGTCGGGCCAAGTGCCTTTCACATTCACGATAGCCTTGAATGACTTATGGAAATAACGGGGGCTTCGTACCCTCCTTTCTCCTCAGTTGTGGGGCTTGAGAAGTCAAGGTGGTTAGATTAAGTGAGTAGTACAGACGACGCCCAAGGGATCGTCTGTATTTGGTAGTTATAAACTAGTCATTTTCATTAATGTGCGATTATAACGACTCACAACCCATAATTAATCCAATGTCACCTGGGTAATCATAAACAATCATCGTATCGGTATAACAATAAATAAGACATGTAATTCTATGTATTGGGAAAACATCGGGTTTTCCCGGGAAGTCAACACTCTTACCTATGAAATGTATATAAGATTTAACAATTATACATGATTACAAAAAAAATCGACAAGCATACTACGGATCTCCACAGTTTTTCTTGTATACAATACTTGTTTCAGAAAATATCGGATTTTCTGGGTTTTCAAACTTCCTAAAAATCATTATTTTTCAAACATGACTTATGAACTCACCAACATTTCATATGTTGACGTTTTCCAAAATACTTGTATTCTCAGGTAACAGGTAAATCGAAGAATAGGTATCCAGTGATGTCATGGTGTTTTGTTTAAATTAGTACCGAACGGTTTAAGTTATGAAAATGTAATGTTCAAAACAATGTACTGAATGTAAACAATATCCGTTGTAATATTTCAATATATGGTGATGAATGATGTTATGATTCATGTATAATCATTGTGATGGTATTCAATTGAGTCACAATAGCCCTCGGACGTTTCCGTTGTCTGGTTCGGGGGTGTGACAATTATCATTCTTTTTGCAGATGTTGACGCGATTTAAGAGATTCATGTAATGAGAGTTCGTGTATCTCTCAATATCAGTTACTTGAAATAAAAACTTGGCCGACTTCCCCTTCTTATTCTTTCCTTGGAATACCATACCAAATGGTAGATGAATGATCTCACGAT